AAAAAATAAGAAAGAAAAATGAAAGAAAAGAGAGAAGTCAAGTGTTCGTTCAATTTCCGAAGTGCGCCGGCACGGATCTCTCCTCTCCCTTTAAAGGGAGACCGAGACCCGCTCGCCTCTCTCGCGTCATGAGACAAAGCGGGGGGAGGGGTCCAGATCGATGTCGATTAGTTCGCTCTCCCCCCTCCCCCCGTGCGCCCCGCTCCCTATTAATTAAAAGGCGTAACTTAATTGAGTCTTATCGGGCGGACGAGGTGTTTACATGTAAATCGAGGCAGCATCGCGAACGAGATAACGTCGCGCGAACGAGATCGCGACTAAATCCCTCCCCGTGATATTGCGATGAAATATCGGGAGCCGTGCGACAACTTCGATCAGCCGCGCCCGACGCGCTAACGACTACGGCGAGATAGAGCGGAGGAAAAAGAAAAAAAGGACGAAGCCGAAAACCTCGCGAGAGGATGAGGAAAAGAGAGAAAGAGAGAGAGAGAGACGGAAGAAGCGGAGGAGAACATCCAATAACCAGTCCTTGCGAGGATCCGCTTTTTCCATCCGATCCTTCTTGGCCGATCTCGAGCAATCGACAACTCGTGATGTCGAAGACCGCGGCGTTTCGTAACACACACATACACGCGCACGCACGCAATGTGCAGAACGATAAATTATCGCGCACGACGACGGCGGCGACGAAGGTGTTGGCTCTCCTCTCGACGGTTTTCTCCGATTTTTATTCTTTCTCTCCCATGGAAGGAACGTCAACGATACATTCGAAGAGCAGAGGACGCGCGTACGTGAGTGTAGCACGTGTGAGAGCAGGCGGGAGATAAGGTAAAAGTGCCGATACACCCGAAGTTAATCCTGGACATTTTTGCACTGGGGATGTTTGTGATATTTACAACTATAATCTGAGAAATAATTATTATAAATTGTGATCAAAGAAACCATTTTTTTATGCTATAATATCATAATATGTGGTAAGTAATTTTATATGCATATTACCACTTTGGAGTTAGAATAACCAGAAAGTTGAGTAGTGTGTTGAGATCGAAAGTAATTATAATTTCAGTTTAATCGATCACTTCTTTTCTCTCATCTGACATCTGAAATTACTGACTGCACAGTTCAACATGTTCTACGTCTAAAGTTTAAATATTTGTATTTAAAGATCAAAATAACAAGAATGCCTAGGATTAGGTATACATTCGGGAATTGGTACTTTTGTCTTTGACATATCCCCGGCGTTTCGCGGCGATTTTGTACGGTACGCGGCTCTCGAAATGTATATCGAAGTGATTTTCGCACGTACATATACACACACGACTACACGTAGACACTGCGATCGTGAAGGGTCGGCGAGAGGTGTGTCGGTAACTGTTATTTTATCTACGAGAGAGAGAAAGAGAGAGATGTCGAGAGGTAGCGCGGAACGAGGGATTCCGAAGTGCAGGACGGTTATCCCGTGCAACCAGCTATAAATTGTACCGTAACCGTTATCTACTGTGTATTTGAAAATTTATAAATGTGTGATACCTACTTAACTACACGACTCGTCTTCATTCGACCTCTCTGAATCGCCCTTTTTCCCTACCCTGTACCTTATCTCGTCCCGAGAACCATTGGGGTTTCACGATACCTCAAGTGTGACTTTTAACTCCCGAAGTCGATAGATCGCATGAACGCGCATTCGAGAAGCTCGCCTGTCGCAAAGAGGACAAAGAGGAGGTAGTAGAAAACGAGTGGAAGAATTTGTAAGTGGGAGCGACCGTACTCAGTGAAAAAGAAAACATAGTGATGGCAGCAGTACAGGTGACAACGAATTTTGTACGTAGAATAAATGTATAGGGGAGAATGGGGCTATTTGGTTATTGAGGTAAATTAGTAAAATTGATTATTTCTACAGTTTTTTAACAGATTTCAGAATCAAACAAATAGAGATCTCAAAGCCACCTTTGTCATCTCGACAAACATACATTGCCCGAGATACAAATCACGTTTGTTCTTGTCTATTTAGGTTAAGTTCATTACGTCTCTGTTACAGAAATATTATTCATAGCAGCAAATCGAAAGTAACAAGTCATTTGTTGTTCTTAACGCATTTGCTGCCGACAACCTATTTGTCGCGGTATATATTAGTGTTTTGTTAAATTAACAAAAGTTTTTCTCTCAGTGATGTAAAAGCGAAAACCTTTATCGACATATTGTCAAGAGCGAGTTTGTTAGCTTCTCACGTTGCAAAGAGGATAAGAAGAAAAAATGAAGGAGCACAAGATCAGAAAATACGCGGGGTGAAGAGATGCGACAAGGAGCAGTCGCCGAGCAGCTTATAGCACGACTCTTGGATAAATCTCGTGGCGTCCCGCTGGTCCCGCTCTTCTTCTCTTTCTCTCTTTTTTCTCTCTCTCTCTCCCTCTCTCTGTCTTTCTCGAGACTGAGACTCCCAAGAGTCACAAGATCGCGCGTTCGTTCTATGAATTAGAAAATCGATAGGAGAGAGGCAAGATCGTGGTGCGCGTCGTAGAGCGGAGTCGGATCTCCAAATCCCCGCTTACGCGCGTCCGCGCAAGTCGGTCCTACTCGTTTCACGGCGAATTAGGTCCGGATGGGCCCTCCACGAGGGTTTAGTGGAAGGGACCCGAGTGGAGTCGAGATATCCGAGAAAGAGTCGAGCCAGCTGCTCGCGCTCCGTACGTGTACCTCCGAATACCTATACGTGATCGTCGGCGAATCGCCGCTCGACGTTGACCTTCTGCCACGGGATGACTGCGAGGTAAGGGGAGGAGGAGATGGTGGAGGAGGAGCAGAAGAGGAGATGTGTGCGCCAAGGAACGGCCCTAGATAGCCCCCGAGACCGGAGAGGAGAATATATACTTCCTATAAAAGTGACCGGGATTTCGCGTAATCCCGTTTTCTGGGGTGGAGTCGGATAAAAGAGAGATGGGGTGGTACCTATGTATACCCTGCTACGGTGTGCTCCGGCACACCGAGGCTCTCCTCTTATGATCATCGTCCCGTCTTTTTCTCGAGCGAGTCGCGCGATCCGCAATGGTCTCGACTTCGCTTTTTACCTTCTTTTTTGCGGTTTACCACGCGGATTTTGGTAACAAGGGTGTTTCTCTTTCTCCCATATAAGGGTACGTTAAACTCGTAGGTACAGAGGATTACATATATGCCTAGCCATTCCCTAGCCATGTGTGTGTGCGTTGTCCTAATCGAGTTACTAAAAATTTTCGACCTAACGCATTTGTTTTTAGATAGACAAGGGTCGTGATTGTTGATTATACGAAGAATTTGCAGTGATGTCAAGCAGTGATAGTTGGACAGCTTGATATTTTGTTTACATTTATAATTGCGATTAGGTCGATGAATAGATATTTTGCGCGCCATCACGCAGCACGCACGCTAAGTGATATCGACGACTCGATTCGAAATTTTAATTCCACATTGGCTCTACAAGTCTCGTCGGACTTGAAGAGCCATTGAAGAATGCGAAGATATTATAATACAAACTATTTGCCTTACCTTGATTATGTCATAGTTACATATTTTTGAATTACCTAATAATCGATTATCTCAATAAATTCTACCTGCATTTATCATTATTTTATCATATATTTCATTATTATCTTGTCTCTTTACTCTTTATTCTTAATGAACAACGTAATGTAACAATTGTGTAATTTGCAGACAGAATACGTGCGATAAGCGGAAATATTAAATAATCCAATAAAGATTGACTTTTCTTGACTCACGTGATTTTCTAATACATAGACTCGTGTTCAGTCTGTGAGATCGACTCTTCATTAATAAAGATGGAATAATGAAAATTAATGGAGATGAAACATATAAAGTTTGTTTCTTACATAAACTCTGATTTCTAGTTAAAGTGCTCGCGTACAATAATATTTATAGCTTCAAAAAAGTATTGGTTTTGTGCGGTCTGGAAGGCCGGTACGTGAGTTAAGGAAGATTAATGAGAAGACATAATTAGTGGGTATTAAATGAATACAACATATTTTACTTTCTTACAATTTCTTTTTGTTTTCGTTGGATGTTTTAATGAGGTATATAGCTCTCAAAAGAGCTGATAAGGAAAATGTAAGGACAAAGTTCTTACATCCTCCAGAGTTGTGAAACCAATAATGTTGAACACTAATCAAATTTTAACACGTTGTCTGATCGCGCTGATTGTACAAAAGCTTGGCGGATGATTGAATTAACCGAAATTGGCCGTAAGTGTAATTCGAGACGTATTTTTGACCTCGTCTCATCAGCTTTGTATTGGCCGTACAACTGATTCTTCAAATTAATTGTATAAAATTGATTGTATCAAATTTTATTCAAACTATTAATCATATAATTAAGTGTATCTCACACGTAACTCAATGAGATACAATAGAATCGTAATATTGCACGGAAAAAAAAGATTTGCTAATATATGGACAACTAAAAATATTAACTGCAGGAGAAAATTGTCTTGCTTTCATAGCAAAGTTATTTAGTTGTGATAGCTAAAAGATTTAATAATATATATTAGCAAATCTTTCAGCTATCACAACTAAATAACTTTGCTATGAAAGCAAGAAAATTTGCTCCTGCAGTTAGTAATTTTAGTTGTCCATATATTAGCAAATTTTTTTTTCCGTGTGGTCACCGGTAATCGCATGACAATATTAAATTCGATAAGATAATCCTGTAAACGAAATTAAAAAAGAGACGTCGGCGCACATCAACAACAAGATTTGCCGCCTAAGCAGCATTATCAGATGTACAAATCAATATTTATGAGATTCACAGAGGCCGATATTCATAGATCTCAATTATATTCACCAAATTATTATTAATAACTCAATTATACTAATAACGTATTTATTTAAATCCAAATTCTATTATTTAAACATAGAATAAACAATTGCTTTCTTAACAAGTTAAGAGAGAGAGAGAGAGAGAAAGAGAGAGGTATTAAGGCTAAATAATATATTTAAATATAACTACCAAATAATGCTAAAAAAATAACGTTCTCTTCTCTCTTTTGTAACTCTCTACTAATATTAAAGGGACATGTTTAATCCAATAAATCAATAATTCAATAATAAGAGATTATGAATGTCGGCCTCAATTTCGACTCGGGATATTTCCTCGTACGCGGCAATTTCGCCGGAGGTCCATTCAAATCGAAAACCTTCTGTGCAATAAATGATTTCATGCACCTGGACAGATACACGATGGCGTCCTGGCATCCTGCGTGTCCTGGCTTCCCGGTCCAGCATCCTGTTCCAGGCTGCTCCGTTCTGGCACTTTGGACACTCACTCTTGTAATCACTGGCACTGACACTCGCGACACGATTCGATCAAAAGGTGTTAATTGCCGATGAGAGTCCAACCGAATATTGCAAGAGTCGACGTCGAGAATTGTGACTCAAGTAACGATACACGTGCTCCGCGTCGTAACGCGTGTTTTGTTCGCTGTCCCGGCACGTAATGTACACTCGAAATGAGTCCGACCTCGTTGAACGTTCGAAACGACGTTTTGCTTTTTTGATTGTTGTTATCGTTCGGCTGGTCGACGCTTGATGACGTAGTCGCCCATTGTTTCGGTGTTTTCGCGCGTCGCGTGCTTCTCTGCGACTGTGAATCTCCGATTATTTGCCCCAAATCTGTAATTATTCCATATAAGAAGGGACATCAGTGTCAAGCGTGCTGAGTAACGGTCCACGAGCTTGTGGATCATTAATTAATCTTTCGATTGAAGATCCCGAATAATTGACGAGTATCAACGATTTTTCCGCTTCTGTTTACTCTTGTTATCGTATGTAATATTAATTTAGATGTTTATCGGAGAAAATGGCAATGAGTAATTACGCTACACTAAGAGAGAAAATATCTGAGTAAATATTTTATTATTTGATGGGTATTGATGATGATATATTTACTTATACTGATGTGTAAAATATTTTTCGATCAAGAAAAATATCACAAAGCTTCGAACAAGAAAAAGATTGAAGTGACGGTTGTTGGGTATTCATTTACATAAAATTATCACTATTATTATATTAAAATATTAATATTATTATTATATTAAAATAAAAATAAAAATTATAAAAGATAAGAAAATTATGTAAAAATTGATTGACTAAAATAATCAACAAACTAATATAAAGTCACGAATAACTTAATTGATCGATGAAATTAATAATTAATCAAACTTTGATTGATTAATAATTAATTTCATCAATCCACATTAAATTACTTTTGACTACGTATATGATGATTGATTTTAGCGGTCATTTGAGAGTGGAAGAAAATTTTCATCGATTAATGCCCGACAGCACGCACTTTTCCAACCCTCCGCGAGAACGCCGACGTTCGTCCGTCGGATATTCGCGCCACGTTTCTCCCGATTTCCACGTCACTTTGTTGAGCGACGCGCCGAACGTAATCCGTCGATGTTTCCTCGAGACGAGGAATTCGGGATAAGCGTCTGTCGGACGAAATGGATCGGTGCCGCGTGAAGGACGCTCGATCGGTGAATGCGAGTCACTTCGCCGGCACGACCACGGAGCCGGTAATCCCGTCTGTATATCCCGCCGCCAAGGGTCAAGCGAGGCCGGGGTCAGTCTCACGTCGAGTGTGAAACTTCGATTTCGAACGCGCGGCCTGGAATAAATAATCAATCGTGGGATTTGTTGCGCGCCGAGCGTCACGATCGAGGGTCGTCGTGCCGTCATCATCCGGCGAGTCTACTGCGAGCAAGGAATGCACGCAACAAAGTATCGTACGAGGACGATTAAAAATGCAACGGGAAGTCTAGTACTATGCAATGACATTGACAGAAATATTTAAAACAAAATTTGATGTCTCTAAAATAAATGCGTCAAGTTGGCCGTCATTTTTTATACATTTAACCTTATTTGTCTCGAAAACCTGACATGATAAGCAAATTGTAAGGGTAAATTCAGATCTAAGTCTATTCGTACTCTGCTGAGAACAAACATGAAACAGAATTTATATGGAAAAAACTATAATATTCTCTTCCTATAGAAACATAGCAGATTTCGCTAAAAATATAGCAAGTGTTTTAATAGAATACAGTTCCTGAAATATATAAACAGCACATATGAAATGAAAAGATAGCAAAACACTGAGGAATGTCGGTCTATTCTACAAAATCCTATAGTAATTTTGCCCATAAAATTCTACCCATGTAGAAACACAGTAAAATTGAAAAGACCTAACATACACGGAAAAAAAAGATTTGGTTGAATTAACCAAATATCTGGTCGAATATGAATGACCCAGAAATTCCGAATGAAATAACCCGAATTCTGTTTAAGTTAACAAGATTTTTGGTACATCAACCAAACATGTCTGGTTGTTTAACCAGACACATCTAATTAATCAACCATACATGTTTGATTAGTCTACCAAAAATCTTGTTAACTTAAACAAAATTCGGGTTACTTCGGAATTCCTGAATCATTCATATTCGATTAGATATTTGGTTAATTCAACCAAATCTCTTTTTCCGTGTAAAAAAGAAGAAAAACTATAATATTTTCTCTATGTGTAATTTCACAATAAACAAATAATTCTATCTGCGGTGGAAGAAACGAAGAGAGCAACAAAATTGAGAGCATTCGGACAATTGATTCGCCATGTACAAGCCTGAGTTCGTTTAACTCGATTTGAGTTGTGTCGCGACTGTGATCGCTATATTTTTTTTTTATAGCGGACGATAATACTTCGCGTATGGGGACAGCGGAAAAGGGAGCTCTTGCGAGATACGGGATTTTATTGACGCTGATACGGGCGTGGAGATTCGATGCGGACGCCGATAGGCGCGTAACGCGCGGAAAAATCGCGTGCACGCAACGATTGCGCGGAGCTGTCAGCCGCGCGGACGATTCGCCCGGCTGGTGCGATTGAACCCCCGGCCGACCCGCAGGAATGACTGGTTGACTGACTGACTGCACAGCAGCCTAGATTCCCGCCGACGCGTCGTTTTCCATCAGAGCCGCGATTATTAGTAGGCGCACGCGACTTTATTCGCGGCGTCACGCACGACGCGCCGTCGATCCCGCTTCTTCGTCGGGAATGACGCGCAAGTACCAAGATGAGAAGACTGGACGACTCGAACGAGGGGAAACAATTCGCTCAGATTTCCACGGGACATTTCCACGAAATGCATCTCGCAGTCGCTCTTTCCCCCTTCCTTCTAATCGAGAGCTTTTACTAAAAATTGTCGACCTAACGCACTCGTTTCTAGATAGTCGCGACTGTTGATTATTTATGAAGAAACTGCAACGATGTCGAGTAGCTTGTGACACTTGGACAACTTAATATTTTGTTTGTGTTTATAATTGTGGTCATCCGTTCATGTGTTACGCATAAACATGACATTATTAGCCACGGCACAGCAAATCTATGTGCCTAAAATCACTACCAGCCAGTAATGCAATCCTCACTTCTCCTAGTGACTAAAAAGAATAAGTTAGCTGATGGTCAAACAAACGAAATTACATTTGTGAGAGTGCAAGTATTATTTTGTGAGAACATATCATTTCGTTTCAATATTATTACTTGCAAGGAATTTTAGCGCGAATTTTCAGCGTGTAAATCAAGATAACCGCGTCGAGCAGAAACGGGAGCTTTAGAATAAATTCTTCTTAAATTTCTGCGTCACATCCTGTACTGCCCCTGCACTCCTGTCATAATCGCGATTACCAGAGCATGCACATCAGCATGCAGTGGCTCTTAATTGCGACAACAACGAAACGCTGTAACTTCACTCAAGACAAGAAGTGGGCAAACTGTTTCGCGGTCGAGCATACACGAGTCGCGTTACGACCAGAAATAACGACAAACCCAACGACAACGGTAACGGTATCGCCCGCAGCTGGAAAAAGATCTCGTCCAAGTATCTACACCGCGCGGACTACATGTAATAAAGTGGCGTAATAAATAATCATCATCGAGCGGCCCTTTCTATCGCGGGACACGATAGCTGGACTCTCTCTCCCTTCCCTCTCTCTCTCTCTCCCTCTCGCCGAGTAACATAGTAACGCGCGAATACACACCAATTCGTCGCTGATTATCGGACAACGGTATATCCGTGCCGAACTATATAATTGCCGAGGCCCGACGGCGGTTCCGTCCGGGAGAGGCGGGAGGGCCCGCGTAATATAATCTACCGCGAGATCGGCGAGCATCGCCCGGTAGGTAGGCTGGTTGCTCGCTTGGTTGCTCGGCTGCTTCGTACCGAATAAGACAGAGCGCGGTTTGTTATATTCCTTGAGGAGAATAAGTGTCTATGAGAGAAGTGTAGGAGCGACTCTCGGGGGAGAGGAGAGGGAGAGGCGCAGGGGAGATGGAGCAAGAGGAAGAAGAGGAGGAGGAAGAGGAGGAGGTGGATCAGCAGCGTTATTAATGGGCACGATTACTTGGCGAAACTCGCGCCTTTGTGCGCCCAGCCTCTTCTAACCCCTACCCGCTTCCTCTCTCCTCCACCGCCGCCGCCGCCGCCGCCGCCGCCGCCACCGCCGCCGCCACCCCCGTCTCTCCTGCTCCACCACCTCCTGCTCATCCTCCTCCGCCGCCTCCCCGGGATCCATAATACCCACACGCGCATTCTCCTTTTACACCTGTGCACGGCTGTCTAAGTTATGCATGGGATCCTCCCACAGAAACAATGCACCCGCTCCGCTGTCTTTTCTTCCTCCACGAGTCGCTCTCGTTCTCTCTCTCTCTCTCTCTCTCCCTCTCTCGCTCTCTGCATCTATCTGTCTCTCTGTCCCTCATCCTACCCGCTCGCTGGCTCCCGCTCTTTTTTTTTCACCCGTTCCTTCGTGTCTTTTTCTTTCTTTTTTTGCTCAATAGCTCCATCCCGCCCCGGTCTCGGTGCCGCGTCCGGTACTTGTCTCGCCGAATAGTCATTACCCGAAACGATTTCGCCAGCGGAGAGTGAGTGAGTGAGTGAGTGAGTGAGTGAGTGAGTGAGTAAGTGAGTGAGTGAGTGCGTGCGTGCATGCGTGCGTGCAGCGGCAGTGCGGGACTGCGTGCGCGATGGTGTACGCCGATACGATCTACAATTACGATCCGGGACTGATAGGTTGCGTTCCGTTTTCATTGAATGTACACACGACAAAGCGGCCCGTGGCCGTTGTTCACGAGGTGGAGAGCCGCGTCGTGGAGACGAAATCCTCGACGCGACCGCTGCGAGAACGCGCTCGCGAAACTTCGGAAGAGATACTTCGCGCGCGTTGCACCACGTGGTGGTAACAATCCTCGCGAGGGAGAGACCTATGTACACTCGCCCGGGGTGAAGGGAGCGCGGCTCACTCGGCGTTTCCAGCGATGAGGCGACTTTATCGTTTAATTATCTATAAACGCGCGTAATTACACATCTCGCGCCGGTGAACGGTATTGAGCTGCGAGCGGCAGAAATTCGGCACACCGATTTAATTGCGGGCTTGATCGTATGAACGCGCTCGCTCGAATATCCTGCGAAACTCGGCGCAAAGCACGCTATACCTGCGCGAGGAGCCATCGACGCCCGGAGGACGCCCTCGACGCCCGATTTCTGACCAGAGTCGATTGCCGCTCTCGATCGACTTCTCACCCCCGGCACCTCCTCCATCTCCGTACACGCGTCAGCGCT